GTCAATTCTTGAAGAGAAATTGGGGAGAAGCAATCTAAATACATATTAGGTCTTACAGCTGTGTTTGAGGTTAGATAGGTACTATCTGAGGACAGGAGGTCATAAATTTTGCCTCTAATAGTTAGAATTTTGTCATTAAAAAAGCTCATAAAATCATTACTGCTAAGGGCTAAAGGAATACAAGGCTCAATAGAGCTTTGACTCTCAGTCAGCCTGGCTACAGTGTTGAAAAGAAACCTGTGGTTATTCTTGTTTTCTTCTATTAATGCTGAGTAATAGTTTGCTCTGGCATTGCGGAGGCCCCTCTTACAAGTTTTGAGACTGTTTGCCCAGATTAAACGAGATTCTTCAAGTTTGGTTAATCACCAATTCCTTTCAAATTTTCGCGATATTTGTTTTAACTTACGGGTTTGAGAGTTATACCAAGGAGCGAACTTTCTTTGTTTTGTTAACTTCTTTTTAAGAGGAGCTACAGAGTCGAGTGTTGTTCGCAGCGAGCCTACGGCGCTATCGACAAAATGATCAATTCGGGAGAGGTTAAAGTCGGTACGGGAAACCTCTGTTAGTGAAGGACTTGGTATTGAATTTAACTAAGTTGACCGCTACTCTTCTACCCTCCGTGTGTGTCTGCCGTCTGCATGCTGGCCTGGTGGATTGATAGTAAGAGCTGGAGCGGATCACTGGAATGGACTGCTTGAATCGCGACATGCTGGGTTGGCCGGAAAACCTGGAGTGGATTCCGTGAAAAACTGGATCGGAGTTCTTGGATCGGCATTTTTCCATGCAGTCCGATCCGATGCCGATGCCTGTTTTTTTGCTAATATCAGCGGCCGATACCGATCCAAATATCAGATCGGGACATCCCTAGTTTTCAGTAGTATGGGCGGGCGATATGGCCCTAAAATAATATCATAATATTTTGGGGTATTTTTGTGATAACGATATTCTTGATAATATGACAAATTAGTAAAAAATAATAATTTAAGAACAGAAAATTGCAACAAAATAAATGATATAGTTGCCTTCAAATATTCAGTAAAAACT